CACGCCCCCCCCGCCGCAAAGCTGGGGCCTGGGCAGGTCATATCGGAGGAGGCCCGTGGGCCAAGCCTGGGGTAATTAGGGCGCAGAAGGGGTTCTTCCCTCTAAAAAGGTTTGGGTTTTGTTTTTTTTTTTTTGCCTACAACAGCAGGGATCTATGGCTTCCCCAGGGAAATTTCCCCTGGAATAAGTGATTTCCCCTCAAGCAAGGAGCAGGGGTCAAACTTTTCCCAACTTGTTTCCTGGAGACAGGCAGAGGATGAGCCAGGTATCACTTTCTCGCTCTTATCGGGGAGATACCTCGCAGATGGCAGCGTAAGCTCAGCCACAGGTAGGGTTTGCTCACAGCTCCCCAAAGCCCTGGCGATGAGGGGTCTCCAGAGGCGCTCAGGGCTGCAGCACCCCATCACCCTACCCGGAGCTCAGCAAGGCACAGGGGAATAGGTTTCCTGCCTCCTGCACCGCGTACAAGGCCCCTAAGGAAAGGCGCAGCATCAGGTGGCACCGCGGTCACGCCGTTGTGCAAGGACAAGGCAGCAGCTTGCCCAAAATGGCACGTACGCGGCCAGGTACCAACGGCAAGGGTGGCAGCGGACAAAGCAGCCCCTCTTCCCCATCGCTGCCGAGACACCCCGTCAACTGGCCTCCCTCCTTCCATACCCCAAGCAAAACACTGGCTCCGTCCAAATCCCTGCTGTCCGGAGAAGGGAGGGAGCAAACCGTTTTGTGCCCCCACGATCATCTTTAAGGGCAGAAGTTGCAACGCTCGCATCCAGGTGGGCAAGAGGTAAAGCAGCCGGGGGTGCCACCTGCCCCAGCTCCCCTCTGGTGTAACTCCAAAACCATGGAGGGACGAGTAAGCACGCTACGGAGCTTAAACACTATAGCTGGGAATAGTTTCGGGGTTCAGAGGGGTTTTCTGGGCTCTCCTCGAGTCCTACCCCCAGGCCTGACCTTACCTTGGTAGGAGCCCAGGCACACGGAAAGGATCAGCACCCAGCCACTCCATTTGCTCTCCATGCCGTTCCTAAGATAGTCCTCAGTGGCTGGTTCCTCTCCCGTGCTGCTCCCAGACTGAGGAATCTTGGATGGGTTGGGAGAAGTAGTGAGAACCCACACCTACGCAGGGCAATTACCACACCCCTCTCCTTACGCCTTGATTATAAAATCATTCACCAGCCTGCAAAGTGGAGGGAGGGACCAGAGCCAGGCAGGTATTCCCGGGAAGTCAAAACCAGCCCAGAACCTGCTGCTCAACGCCAACCTCCCCGCTCCTGGCAGCAAAGGGTGGCCAGGGAACACAGTCCTAGCGATTTTCGGTGCTCTTCACTGAATAGAGCATCACCCCTGACAAAAAAGGTCGGTAGCGCAGGTATTAAAGACCAGTAAATTTAGGAGAAGCGAATTAACAGTGTAGAGGCAGCCATGTAGTTTGCTTACAGCCTTTAAAAGACATTTGTTTCAAAATGAAGCAAGGAATGAAGGCAAAAGGAAAGCCACATTAAATGCAAGTCAGCACCAAAGCCTGATAACCAAAGCAGCTTCAGCAAGAACTCCCTCCAGCCTGCACAAGGCAGAGAACTTGCAACACAGAGCTGTTGCCTCACACCAGGCGTTGCGTTCGTCCAGGGAAGAGCGCGGCGGCAATCCCTGGCAAGCCTCTGTAACCTGCAACTGCGCTCAATATAACAAAGGCTTGATGGGACACGCACGTTGCGAGGTGATGGCAACTCCAGCGGGAAGCTGAATCCTGCCGTTCAGCTCCAGATTCCCAGTGACGTTTTGGGACGTGCCTTCTCCTGGCTCTGCAGCAAAGGGGAAGCTGACAAGATCCTTTGGCAACTAGCGCACACCAAGGAAACGGAACACACAAACTCACCGGTTTACAGAAGTTTTTATTGTTCATTAAAGAAGCTTTTGTGCAAAAATCAAGACAATGTTCTTTAGAAAGCAACTGCACGTGTCCCCCCAGCATAACTCAAGCGGGTCAGGCGCCACAGTCCACAGGAAGGGAGAAAACCAAAGTCTCCCAGCGCTAGCACAGGATTTCCCCCGCTTCACCCTGACAACAGGTCGCTAGCATGAATCCTTCGCTACCAAAACCCCAAGAAAATTAAAACCTTGCCAACCTGTAAGAGCAAGTATCAATCCATCCCCACCTCCCCCCCAAAAAACTCACGTTAAGAGAACACCACCCAGTTTAAAAGATCAAATACCACATGCTACGTGCCATGGTGTAACGCAACCCGTACCTCCAGGGCAGCGACGCTGAAAAGAGCCCATTTCCTATTTGGCATATCTACCCCAACTGCGATACACCGCTGGAACCACTGCGCAAGCCTGCCAAGACAGAAAGCTGCAGGTATTTTACATCTTATGGGGAATTTTTTTTTTTTTTTTTTTAAAGCCAGGAGTGCTTCAGCATTCTGTACAAATGCAAACAGGAAAGACAAACCGCTATCGCTATCCATCAACACTGCCCAGACACTTAGTATGTACACGTAGTAACAAAAAAGCTGCAGTTGAGTGGTTTTCCATTGAACTGCATGAAAATTACTCTGCTTGCTGCTAAAAACGTTGTTACTGGAGCTCCCGCCTCACCCAAGACACCACAGGAACAGTAGCAGTTGCCGGCACCTTTCTGAACAGGACTGGAATTTTCAAAGCTCCACCTCTGCCCAGCTCCTCCTTCCCAAAGGTCTCCTCAGAGCTACTTTGGTGCCTCCATTTTGGGGGTTAACTTGATCAGAACTACGCGCTAAACGCTGGTAGGGGATGCAAGGTCCGTCTCAAGCAACATCAGCATGATTCTCATTCTCGAGGCCCCTACACCTTGAGGGCCTGACTTGTTTCCAGCCTGCCCCAAAAGGCTTTCGCTCAGAAGTTCAGGCTGTTTCAGTGGGATGCTGCAGAGGCGTGAAAGGCAGGTCATCAGATATGCCAGCAGAGCTGCCAAATACCTGTCGCAGTGCTCTTACCAGCTGCCTTCTCCGCTTGCTACTCAGACGTGTTTCCCAACAGAAATGGGAACTCTGGAAAAAAAAATTTATACTTCAAACTACTCAGAAGGGCGAGTGTCAGTGAGGGTGGCAGCAATGGAAACTGCCCACGAGCCTCATAACGCCTCTGAAGTTTTAGAGGACTGAAGTATGCTATGAGAGAAACACAGATCAAGGAACAAACCAGCAGTTTACAGTAAAAAACATTTTTCCATGTGCTCTGCCTTCTATGCTGAACTCACTTTGATATATGCACAGCCCCTGCTGACTTTTTCCCCCTCCATCTTCTACCGACCCAGCTCGCTCCACCTCCTTGGCACCTGGCTGGCTGCATGTAGGAAGCTGCAGAACTAAGCAGAATTGAGCAACTAGGGTAAGAAAAAAAGGGAGTCATTCCTTAAGTATGTCAGCATGCTTCAAAAGACTGAAATACCACTGTACAGGGCTTGACAGCAGAACACCCATGCTTAGACCGAGTAGTCCAAGGAGATAAAAAGGACATGATCAAAGGTTGAGGGAGGGTTTCCTTAGCTATAACACCACCACAGCGGTAAGTGTGGTCACTCAAATGCAAAAGCGTGCTCACTCAAATGCAAATGCATCTTTTTAGGTACCAGTTACTTTGAAAGTTAGCTGGGCACACAAAGTCCCCTCCTCTGCATCTGTAGAGCTTTGAAAATTCCAGCCGAAGGGAGTTCCAGATTCAACATTATCCCTTAGAGTTCTCCTACGGTTACACAGAAAATTAATATTCCAGCCAGATGTTAAAAACGCAAAGCATGTAATCTTCCCAATGCTGCCTACAGAAAGACATTTGAAAGTTTAGTCGCTACCTTGTTCTTTTTTTAAATTAAAAGATAACAGCCTTGTCTCATTCCACCTTCTCTGCCATTCTTCCCAGCACCTTAAAAACACTTCAGCCTACCAATTAAAAAAAAAATCTACAACACACTGACTATTTTTAGGAGCATAATGAGTTAAACTGTACAATCAGAAATATCTTTAAGTCAACAATGAAGATCTGATCCTTCGAGGGCAGCACTGCTACAGAAGAGTTACAATAAAGGAACCTGAAGGTCAAATTGTTAATGAGGCAGAGAGGAGGGACATTTGAGATACAGCTCTCTGCCAACCTCGGCCCACATTTTTAAGAGCCACGGCAAACTTTCAGAACTGGAAATTCTTCTTCTAGTTCCACACATGACGTTTGCAGTGATCAACAGCCTAGAAAGAAAGAAATCGCATATGTTAGTGGAAAAAAGCCTGTTTGCAAACAAGTGTGCATCTACGCATACAATTCAACGCCTTATTCCAAGCCAAGATCTTGGGAGCAAACCTGTTTTTCTTCAAGTAAGTGATGCCAGGGAGGACTAGAAGAAATAATAGCCCAGTCCCCACCCAGAAACTTCAGGAAAGAAGACTGATGACCCTTAGCCATTAAGGCCTTGGCAAAAAAAGCATCAGCCCACAGCAATACTGGAAACCAATTTTTAGATCAGAGGTCATGAAATGGTCTGTTGGCTGCGGGAACACAGACTAAACGTAACGTTAGCACTGTACCTTACTATAGATTCTGAAATGCTAGCAGAGGGGTGGGGGATAGGAAACAGCCTGCTTTAAGAGAGCTAAGGGCTATGAAAGACCCTCTAATCAAACTCAACCACCTCTAGTTAGTACCCTTTTGCTTCCTGAAACCGGAATTCATCCATTTGCAAGTGTGGTATAGAAACCAGAAAAGTATTTTATAAGGAGCTATCAAAGACCACTAGGAAACTTGAGGCAGAATCCTGCTTTACGTACATTGCACTGAGCAGCAGTCTCCATGTTCTTACACCAGTAACCTGGACCCCAGACACAAGCATCGTCCCCCAGGAGAGGCTGTTTAGCTGATTCACAGACTCCAAGTTTCTGCGAAAAGAACAGCAGCAGAGTCAGCGTCCTTCTATTTGCACCAAGAGATCTCAACTCCAGCCTTATGTCTGAGCTTCCACCTGACCGAGTGTGGAAGCAACACTGAGGTAGCTTCAGGAGCTCCCGCGGTACCATGCTCAACTGACAACTGCAGTCACACTTGCAGCTGAACAAGCAGACACGAAGCAGTAAACTGACACAAGGAAGAATTAAGTTACCACAACTGCTTCTTCATATTAAGTTTTGAGAAACAGAGCTTCTAGAAAGGGGCCCTTTCTCAAGAAATGTCATTTAACTTCCTCTCATCGCATTCAGGGCACACTACACCTCGTTACTGAACCTCAACAGTGGACAACCACTGGCAGCTCTTTTCTTCTGTCCTTCCTTGCACAAGGCTGGCACAGCCAGACAGCTGTCCATTCAGTAAGCCCGAGGCCTTGCACAATCACGTATTTTCTCCAAGCATTCAGTGTGCTTATTTTTATTCCAAGCAGAGTTTCTGCATGCTGGGCACTGAAAGACGTACAGAAGAGTAGGCAGGACTGTATCGGAGCCCACACTCAATAGAACTAAACTCAATACTCACAGTGCAAACAAAAGTGGGATCCATCATCTCCGCCAAGAGTTGCACAACCACGGGTTCATACTGTTCCACAAACTGAACACACTGTAACAAAACACAGGTTGAGAGATTCTCCGGTTAAAGCCTTAGAAAGAAGGGGAAAATAAGGTCTTCAGCAGGCAGGCCTGTACACATTACTCCAAACACCCCAATAATACACTCCAAACTGATAAACCAGAGGCTTGAGCTGTGCAGATCAAAAAGGACTCGGCATCGCACTAATCACACAACTAGATCACTTTTTTTTGTGAGCTCATACCTGCCTGCAGCTGTCTGCAGACACGTTATGATGAGAAAGGGGTCAAAAAGAAAAAAGAACCACGCAGGACAGGCTTTGGGAAAAGAACCACGCAGGACAGGCTTTGGGAAAAGAACCACGCAGGACAGGCTTTGATTTGCAAAGCTTAGTCTCTGATGGTGTCTCAAGAGGAAAGCACAGTGAACAAGCTGGAAACAAACATCCTGAGCAGGATGGCAGCGATGCAGTCATGACTCTTAAGCACTTTTAGCCCAAGCAGTTACTATTCCCTTCAGAGCAGGCAGCAGGACGAACGCTGCCCACGGGTAGCAGTCAGCCCTCTAGTGGGGAGGCCTCCTCCGAAGCACAGAAAGATGCTGCCGTTCTCAGCAGAGACTAACGGCGCTGATTAATAAGCGAACCACAGCTATTAAACAGCCTAACAGCAGTTAAGAGGAATAGCTGTTTCATAGCTGGTTTAAGCCTGTGTATTGTATGCCTAGTAAACTTACAAGCAGTTGCCGCTTGCTGACACTCAGCAGCCACCTAATAAGATTTCCAGGTAAATCTTGATAGCGGCAGCCTAACAGGTGTTGGTTTTTGCTGTCTCACTGGAATTATGCCTGCCTACTTCCAATTACTTTGTTAATCCCCTGAACAGGATCAGTGTCGAGGGAAAAAAAACCTTCAGCTGTTCCCACCCACTGTTCTCAGAGGATTTCCAGGCAAACCCTTGCTGACTGCAAATTAGTACAACCACCCAGCCAGTCCATTCAGGCCCTTAAGTCTCCATCTATTCAAAGGACTGCCAAGCCCTAAGGATGGGGAGTGTGACAACCTAATCCCCCTGCACCCCAAACTCCTTCCACCCTCCAGCAGACAGAGAGATTCCTTCAACTGACCTGCGTTACGCTGACTCCTCTTACAAAAAACACCGTGAGACGCTGCTCACTAGTTTTTCCGAATACTCTGCAAGACGTGTGATCCTTCTGTTCATCTCTACCTGCCTGGCTCCGACTGGAAGGCACGCTGTCGCACAGCAAGGCCTGCGTGGTCATTTGTCTGCCTCAGATCAAACCTGCTGCCTCTTTTTTTGCTCTACTGCACATGAGAAGCTGTTACGCTTTGGTGCTAACTAGTAAAGGGAAAAACCTAGGAAGGATCAGGTTGCTGAACACAAGCCAGTCCCAGCTGCACCTGTGGACAGTTTGTCTCTAGCCAGAGACCAAGGCAGTTGGCCAAACACAGAGACCTCTGTTATGAGTACCTGGACATTTATAGCAGAAGTGGAGGCACTTGAGAGATGGACCTAAAATTAGCATGTAGACAGAATATCAGGTGAAACACTCAGAAAATGAGGTAAGCGTAATTGTCGCTGTAGGACCTATGTAAACCCAACAAATCAACAAGGACAGTTCCCAACCATCAACAAGATTGTTGCTTTTTAGCCTGCCTGCTGCACAAGCACTTTACCTGATCACTGACAGACTCTGGCAAGAAGTGACAAACTTTTTCCAGTAAAGCCTCAATTTCAGCTGTTGTGGCATTCTTCTCTAGTTCTTTGTCTGCATAAGCTACCACCATCTTGCAGATATCGCAGAAGCCACCTGCAGGTTTCACTAAAACTGAGAAGGAAAAAAACCCAAACAAAACAAACATCAGTGCTTAGGTAGTTCCCGCAAATAGAAGAAAGGAGGCAGCATCAGCAAAGTACTAAAGCGTGTGTCCTTAAAAGAGATATAATCATATGTGAACTAGTTCATTTTGCAACACCACCAACTCCTAATTACCAACCTGGCTGCTGTGGAGGCTTGTTGGCTGCACAGCATTTCAGCATAACACACACAGCTTCAGGATTCGTTGCCTCCAAGAGCATGTCAATCAAAGCCTGGCCGTAGACATCTATGAAGTCTTTACATTGGTCTTTGACGCTTGTTGGGAACAGGTAGCAGATGACCTCCATTTCATGTACAATCTCCTCCTGAAGCACAACAAAGGATGTGTTGGCAAACGAGGAACAGAAATCTGAACTCAATTTGTAAGTATGTGTTTTCTTACTCTGTCCCACAAGATGGAAATCTTGCTCTCATGAAACCAGGCAATAAACTTAACTTTCCTTCCCCCTCCAATACAGCCCCATTTTAGCCAAAACCTAGGAAGAGGTACCATTTCCACCACTTACACACCTCTGTCTTGTTGCTCTCCAAGAGGCCAGTCACTTCTTTCACCATGGTCTCACATATTTCACACAAGGAAAAAGTTTTCTCTTGAACTGAGGCTTTCTGAGTACGCAGAAGAAACATACAGAACAATAAATCAGCACTTGACCACATTTGACAGGGACAATTCGTAAAAGATCAGTCTAACAGCACGCACATTCAGCTGCGGCACACTAATTCATTTACCTAGCTGGCCAGTTTGAGCTGAATTCAAAAGGTCACACAGAAGCCAAAACCAACCTCAAAGGTCTTGGTAAAAAGCCTTTCTGAATAAACAGCCATTTTGTATGACTAATTAAGACTACAATCCCCAGGTCGTATAAGGAGGGGAGTTGAATTTAATAGACACGGAGAAATAAGCAGCCCCACAGTGACTGGAGTCAAGGGAAAGATGAAGTGTTTTTTAAAATACATTAATCGAGGACAAATTTACTAGAATTGAGCACCCTCCTGTTTGCAAAAGATACCTAGAAATTGAGGGACTTGAGGGAAATTGTTTGGAGCCTGTTAATCAAAAGTTAACTGTCCTCAAAAGAGACTTTCCTTTCCAAAAAATCCTCAGTCCATGTCTCACCCAAAGGCCACGGGAAGCTAAGGTGCTTCTCCAAACTCAGAGCTTCAGCATTCTGACTCAGATCACTCATCTGCACATGGGGATCGAAGCGTAACTCCAACGCAGAGCAAAACTCAAATTCAGCAATTCGCCCTCTAACATTTGAGGTGTCATTTAGAGTGGCTGCTACATTCTGCTGCTGGGGAACGAGAGTATTACCTTACAGCTTCGGTTCAGCGTAGGCTCTGCTACTCTAACACATCAGTCAGATCTCCTACTTCACTGATCAGCATCAGAAACAAGAAGAGGCCAAGAATTTACGTGCAGGGAGACTTGGATTATTCTATGCATAAAAGCTCATGTTTTTCTGTTTCACCTACTTCATTACACTAAAGCAAAAAGGAAGGCAAAGCTATTGAGTACAAAAAGTCCATCTTACCTCCACAGTTTCCATTTTCACTTCATGAACCACTTGAGCTGGCACCAGAGTCTGAAGGGGAACAGATTTCACAGAAGGACAGAACCCAACCATGGCACAAATGTCCTTTGGTTGCTGGAAAGAGATGTAGAAGCAATTTTTTAAAGTCTAGAAGACTCTGCCCTTTCTATGGAGCCTGTGAGCAGGCACAGAGAACAAAGTTTTAAAAGGCTCCAACACACGTAGAAGTTTCATGACTACTTCTACTTCAAGTATTGCCAAAGCATTTGATATGGTTATAGGCAGGACAACTACCAGATGAAATTTAGCAGTACCTTTGAGAGAAAGAGGTTAGGCCACATCCATTTGAAAACCCCATTTACCATGAGCTAATACACTATGCAAGCCCTTCAAAGGAGTTGACTTAAGAGCTACCAACACCAGAACAGGCCACCAGCATCACATTAGACCTGTATCCATGAATCTGCTCCCCTGAAAGCTTTAAGTAATCACAGAAGAGGCTAATCATCCTGACTTCAGAGTTCACCCAAAAGCTGAAAGAAATGCCTAGAAGGACTCCTTTTCTCATCCACAAACTACCTTCTTTAAAGCATCCAGTAACATCACATTTTGCAAATAGAAACACATTCCTGCATTATTGAACACATCCTGTAAGAAACAAAAGTTAACCACGTTAAAACCTAAGCCTAACCCTTTTTACAAGTATCTGCAGCAACTGTATTTCAAGTGTTCTTTTTGCATTAAGAGGGGAAAACAAACAGAAAAAAAGCCTTTAAAAACGCTGTGTCTCTCAAAGGTTTTAGAAACATACATTACTAAAAGCAAAAATAAATGCCAGACATGAGGCAAACTGCTCTAAGGAGGCCACATTGTGCCCACACAAAGTGAGAAAGGCTGTACAGGGTAATACACAAAACTTGAATTTTCCCACCTAAAGTCCAGTTAAGCTAAAAGAAGTTACCTTTGGTCCTATGGGTAATTAGAAGATTGTACCCCACCCTGTCGCCAGGGCATCAAGCTTCTTACAGCAGAGTTAATACATCATACCAAAACTTCATGCACAGGCAAAAGCAGTATCTCAGAGATAACAGTGCTGCTTCAAGACTACTCCAGGCAGTACCTTTAAGTCAAGCCCTTTGGTCCATGCATTGTAAGAAGCATTTTCAGGTATTAATGTTACAGCAACACCCACATACACACAATATGTTCTCTCACCAAGAGATGACAGACACAAGGTCTCCCAGGACTGGTTAAATTAAAAGCTCTAGGAAGCAGGAGCCTAAAGGCCTCCTGCATCTTCTTTTCAATTCATATACTCCAAACATCTATACCATTGTCCTGGATTTAAAGGTTATCCAAGGAAAGACCCAGGGACAGCTTCACTCATGCCCTTTTGAGCCCACACTTTAAACCAGAAGCTGACAGGAGCCACAGGCATGCTTTTTTCACATCTATCCTTCTTGTACAAAAGTGAGCGTATTTTCTGCTCTACTGGCCAAAGCATAATCAAGCTGAAATCTTAGTAGCACAAACTGGTATCTGGAAGCGGGACTGATCCACTGGAGGAAGTCTATAGTCTTTCTCTGTTTTAATCGCATAAATATCCCTTGTATCTGTCAAGACTGAGTACAATCACACCATGTACACAGCTAATAGAGCAAGAAGTGAACTAGAAGCCCTTTAAGAGCAAGAAGTGAACTACAAGCAGGCTATCACCACAGGCAAGTTGCTCACCTACCTGATCCTTCTGTTGACAGGGGAGATTGGAGACAGAGGAAGAAAGGAGAAATTAAAGATAACAGTTAAGAGAAAAAAAAAAAAAATTGTCAAGCACTTGGAACTGCATATACTCTTTCCATGAAGATGATGGAATATGACACAGTCCCCACCCCAAAGATCCTTAGCATCGCTACAGCAACTCACATTTAATTGCACAGTGCTAACCAGCATTATTCATTTGAAGTTATTAAAGCATCCTGGGCAAGACTACCTCCAAAGAGTTTGAACAACACTCAGCCGGATGCAAGGTGTGGTCATATTCCAATTTCAGGTATTAACAACACACTGCATTGCAACGATTAAAATGAGAAACTAACTGTTGTTGGAACAAAGACTTGCTTCCCCCCGTCAAATGCTTAAGAAGCAGTATGAACTTCTAAGTAGCCTTTAGTAACTGGAAACAGAAAAAGGCCACTGCGTTGCCAAATTCAGGTTCCAGTCAGCCACATACTCTATTCATAAATCCACGTGTGATTTGTTATGTTACTTGTGGCATCTAGGCACTGGATTCTCTAAGGAAAGGATTACCCATTTTTTTTGAAAAGGCTTTGAGATCTCTGGATAAAGACATGCTATGGAGGTGGGTCAGAAGTAAAATATATTGTACATTGCTGCAGAAGACCAGAGCTGGGGCAGTACTACTCACTTTCCAATGGCTCTTATCAAGAGCCCAGAGAGCAGGAGCAGCAAGATAGCAATTCTAGAAGAAGGACATTTAGTCTTGCTTCAAGTAGACACATTATCTCTAACACTTGAACCAATTTTGCAATACCATGAGAGAGACCAACTCTAATATGCTTAAGACAGTATTTGGTGGGGAGGGGGGAAGTGGTCTAAGTACAAAACTGAGATAAAAGAGTATAAAGCAACCTATGTAATGCATCTTCTGTGTTTCAAAGGATTAGAGTGCCTTTTGCACCGCTGAAGTGGTTGTGAAAGAAAAGGAAAGTGCTAAAGAAAGCATCCTGGGACTGAAGTTACTATCCAATTAAATGCCAAGTTCAAAGCGTTAACACCAAGACTTACAGAGCAAGGGCTCTCCCCAGATTTCTACTGCAGTAAATGTTTCCGAATAAGTTAGCTACACAAAGCAGAAAACCGAACCAAGGGAAAATACTATATTCTACTGATCTTACCATGTGCATCATCATTTGGATAGCCAAGTCAGAATATTCAGAGATGTAGTTCTTGCACTGCAGGAAGTGGGAAAAGACAGTCTTGTAAATATCAAGCCACTTAAGCTGTATTAGAAAATTTGAGATTAACTCTACATCTCAAGGTATTAATTTACCTACTCAGTAACTATTCTGTTGTCTTTCAGAGCTTGTCCCAAATATAAGACAGCATTTCAGATTACTCAATCATTGCGCACATAGCTGTTTATCTGATGAGTCCTTTTCTCTGCCTCTCAGGGCAAAAGCACTCCCCCTCATTGCTATGATCACATTAGCCTGCCAGATCATTTTTATGAAAAAGGCCTTTAAGGGCTAGAAGCAATCTTGGGTCTTTTTTTTGTCCTCCCCAGTCCGATATACCCCACCCCACCCAACCTTCTTGACCAGGAAGTTTATTATTTCAGTGTTGTTATTGTTACACTGTGTAACACATCCTACATGTGATACACTCTCTTTTGTTCTGTTGAATTGAGACTACCTTGAGAGGATTAAGGCACTGAACAAACCCCATTTTATGTTTGCATACAGGAATAGATTTTTAAACAAAAAAGATAGCTGACCATATCAGATATTCCAGGTCCCAAACGGTCACATTCCTCCTTGGCATGAGCAACTAAAGACTTTACAAAAGATGAGTTTGTCCTCACAGCTTCCTGAACATCAGTAACCAGCTGAATGCAATCTTGGCATACACCCCCACTTCCCTGGACAAAGAGTGAAAGGAAACTTAAGTTGACATATCTTCACATAACACATTTTAGAAGCTTCCGTTACTACCAGGTTTTAAAAGCTATTTTGAACTATATACAAACCTTAATAAATACTCTACAGAATACTTAAAAGCCTGAGCTAATATGAATAGACAAACCACTGCTGGTATGTGCACCAGCCACTAGATGGAGATTAGGTACCTACTTGGCTCTGAAACCCGAGATAACTGTTAAGATACCCAATCTTCCAGATCTCTTGGTTTTGTCACAGACCACAGTGGGAAGGTTTCTAAATCTGGTGTAGATCTTACCTGCTCCACCCACAGCAGCTTGCTCTCCACCCACTCAACTGTTTAGCTTTCATACCTAGGTTTGCTATCAAGACTCAGCCTCTATTCACAAGTTCATTGTCCCACCTACTCCCTTTTGTCAACTATTTTCTGACCCAGTCTGTCACCTCTGGATTCAGAGACCCCTGAAAGGCACAGCTAGCAGATTACTCAGAATGTGGGAGAATTCTTCTTCCTTTGAACGCTGGTGCCAAACTTGCTCTCAGAAGACATTGCTTCCAGTAAGACCTGCTTGACTACTACAGTCCTGGATGGGAACAGCCCAGCACAAGACTTGTCTTTATAGATTGTGGTTGTTAATCCGAGATTACAAATGTGGTCCACAGGGGCTGCAGCTATCATCTTACTTGGCTTTAAACCCATGGGTTAAGGAAAAAGGTAGTTGTCCGTATGCAGTAGCACAAAATTCAGTAGGAGGTAGTCAAGCAGGTGAAGCACATCAGCTTAATCTGTGCCCAGTACAACAATCCCTTACCAAGAATCATCAATAAATTCTTAGGCAAAGGAGCGCTGAATCTCTGGAGCAAAACCCATGCATTTCTCTCACACGCTGGAAAAGCATTGCACCCTTACCTTAGGCTTCTGCTTTGCTTTGTCCTGAGGGTAAAGGAGAAGAGGCACGTTAGCCATGAACGGGGAGGCCAGTTCAGAGAAATCCAGCTCTGGTATCTTATTGGACTGGAGTTGTTTCTGAAGTTTAATTGCTGCAAGGTGCTTCTGAAGGGACTGGCACAGTGAGAGGGCACTACATACAACTTCAGGTTTATCCTAGGGGAGATAAGATACATACATAAAGCTCTAGACTGATGGCACAGTTCAGAGTCACTCAGCTGAAACATGATAGGAAGGGAAAATGTTTCACAGCAAGGAAGCAGTCTTCAAATTTACACCATTAATTGCAACACCAGTAATCCATACAGGATCGAAGGATCATATGCACAATCTTATGTAGAAGAGAAATTCAGGCATCAACAGGAGCAGAACTTCTAATTCCAACAGTTGCAAACCGTTATCTACTTACTAGCTCTTCTTTGATCATATCCATGATAACTGGTAGGTAGGAATCCACAATTTCTTTGCACTCAGAGACCAGGCTTTGATCAGGAATAAACTCGCACGTCTTTTCCAAGTAAGAGCGGATCTCATCCTATAAAAGATGAGGTAGGCTATAGACTATTAATCTATATATAGAGATATATATCTCTCAAACACTCCTTCCATTCCCAAAAGGCACAACACAAAGCCTGAAAAAAAAAGCCCCTTGAACTCAGGTAGGTCCAGGCAGTTGGCAAGCAAAACTAGAATGAGGTTTTACACTATAGGTCTATTTTCCCCAGTCCTGGACTTTCGATGAGACCCTGCCAAAGTGAAAACATGAAATACTGCTTGGGTGGCCTGCACAACACAGTCTTGCCAGCCTAGAACGTTTCCATTTAAGTGAAATTATGGACTAGTAGGACTGCAATTTGTTTATACAAATTACTCCCAGGTTCACAAAAGAAAAGGGGACAAAGTGCCCAAAACCAAAATAAAGTCCACTTGGTGTAATCATCCGATACTACAGGAGACTGCAGTATCCTACCTTTTAAGATTGATGGTCCACTGGCACAAGAACAATTTTATCAAGCATTTACAGCCAATCAGGGATGCATTAGAGCATGAGAGGCTCTAGAATTTGCTCATCTCTAAACCAGAAGAGGCTGTTTAAAAGCCTTTTCCCATGTCCTCTGGCCCCTTTCAACATTTGCTGCTTAGGTTGGGAAAACATCATGCAGCCTACTCTTCCACGCCCTCACCTTGCATCTTGTTAAGACAATGAAATCAAATAGTGCTTTGGGGCAAGGAGAAGGGGAGCTCTGCTTACCTCGGTGCCATTATCCTTCAAAACCTTGCCCACCACTGTCACAAGTTCCTTACACAAGTCACAAGGGATACTGTTCTGGAGAGAGAAGTAGAGAGTTACTCTGAGACACAATTAAGTACCTGTAAATGCAGTGTGCAAATAACAACACGAAGAACGAACATCACATTTGGAATTGAAGTTAAGAAAGAAATACTGGCTGAAGCTGGGGTGGGAATAGGTGTTTGTAAACAGGGTGAGGCTATTCCAAGCATGTCCTGCTCCAGTTTCTTAAGTAAAATCAACATGGTATGAAAAACCAGGCATGCTACCACTTGCTCATTTCACCTAGTCCCACCTCCCTTAAAGTATAAAGTATATTGCCCCAAGAAGCCTTCTCCTGAACCTCTTCTACCTTACTCTTCAAAGAGTTCACACTTATTAAGAACTTTCCAGGCAGCTTCATTCATTTTAGTTGTGCTCTGTCATTCTGACATTCCTCTCGTCCCCTACTTTTCCACAAACTGAAACATATCTCAGGACAGATATAGCCAAGGTAGACTGAATGCGTCTAAGTAAAATGCCTTTTTCCCCCAGGAAATTGTGAAACAATACCACAAACTATAGCTACATCTAGTAAAGCAACAGTCACATTCAGAAGAAATGCAACTTGAAAAGCCACACTAAATGTAACATTTGTACCATTATTTACTGTCATAGCTTTCATAATTTAGCATATGCTGCATCTTTTGTGGAACATTAACTTATGAGAAAGACGTAAAGAAGCATACAGCGCTTTTTTTTGTAAAAAGCCTATTAGTTTGGCATTGCTCAAGTTAGGAATAAGAAAAGGCTCTATGAATTAGAAGTCATTTTAATAAAGAGGAACGAGTCTGAAATCCACTAGCTCCGTTCCACACATCGCTCAGCGATTGTGCAACAGGTCACAGGAGAAGTCAGCAGACAAGTTGTGCAAGGCAGAGAAGTGGAAAGCAACCTTTATCTAGCACCCAAATTAAGGCATAGTAACCAAGGCATAGTCAGATGCAGCACTTCAGTCAGGGACTTGAAAAACCTTCAGCAGTACATGGAAACCAGCTACCTCAACTACAGGTGGGAAGACGTCTCACTAGTTGATACTTACTACAGTAGGCTTGTTCCAGACATTCTGCTGGCAGTGTTTCACTGCTCCGCACTGCGATGCTGTCCGAACATTCTGACACCATACCTCTGGACCCTTCACGCAGTCCTTCTGCCACAAAACAGGGCTTGCCACAGCTGCCGAAAAAGAAAAAAAAAGAATCGTTCTTTTACAGTTGCACACTTGAATCATTTCCACTCCAAAGCAAGCAGGTTAATGCTGTTCAGCGTAACCACAACCTCTCCAGTACGCCACTTAGGTTTACTAACATTTTTAAGCATGTTTCAACCCTGCAATTTCTGACATGAAACACGAGTCCCAAATACAGATTACACAGCCAAAGAACTCAGAAAAACATAACACTGAACTTCCCTACTGAAGTGCCCGAGTCTCAGCATATCAGCAGTCAATTCCCCCATCATCCACCTTTTGCAAAAAAACCAAACGAAACCACCCACCCACACAAACAAAAAAAACCACCCCACTCTGCTTAGCACACGAGAACTACCAGTTGACTTGAAACAGAGAACTGCTCATTGCAGAAATCTACACTTCAGACAGCTGATTCCCCAAGCTACAACCCCCCTGTTCTCCCGTCCTACTGTCCTTGCAGTCACTTCAACTCTGAAGCAGCAGTCGCATCTAGCTTGTAATTGCTGCCTGCATTCCTTCTCCCAGCTGAATCACCCTTTTATCATGCAGCAACTGAGAGCGCTATGAAACCAACTGGACTAGAAGGCACAACAACGCACACATTACACGGAGGACTTCAGAGCCAGGTGCAGACCAAAACACTGATCGTAAACAGTACGTTTCAAGAAAGTCCAAGCAAAAGAGGGATGGAAAACAATGCGAGACATGTTCTATCATATAGTTTTTAAACCCATTAAATCTATTTAGACCTTGTTTCCTCTTGGTCAGTTCTTCAACTGCATACACAACTATTTGTGTGGGTGTAAAAAAAACAATAACAAGTCCTTCTCTGGACATTACCTCCCACCCCACATGGAACTTGCAACCTATAAAGTTTTGAAGTAAAATACAGAATACCATTTCTGGACAGTCTTCCTAAAGAAATGTAAAAGATCTGCACTAATAGTAAGTAATAGGACAAGTTAATCAACTGCGCCTTTTAGCTGACTTTCCAAGCCTCTTTTCTTTTATTGTGCTGTCTGAACTGCACACCAAGCTTCTCCCAGTTTTCTAAAACGATACTGTCTGTTGGTAGGCTCAGTTTCGTCAGCAATCTCCTACATTGCACTAACCTATGAAGAAACAACTCCTAAAACCCTACAGCAGCCAGGCTCCAAGGAAATCTGCCGTGGTCTAAGCCTACAATAGAATCATAGAATCACTTAGGTTGGAAAAGACCTTTAAGATCATCCAGTCCAACCATTAACCTAACATTACCAACTCCACCACTAAACCAATTAAGGTGAGAGTAGCAATTTTGTGTTTCCTGGCTTGGTGGCTGGATTATTTTTAATGAAAGTAAAAACTAGGAATCACTAAGGTTGGAAAGGCCCTCTAAGATCATCAGTCCAACCATCAACCCAACACCACCATGCCCACTAAACCATGCCCCCAATGGCCACATCTGCCCGTTTTTTGAACACTTCCAGGGATGGGGACTCCACCACCTCTCTGGGCAGCCTGTTCCAATGCTTGACTACCCTTTCCATGAAGAAATCTTTCCTAATACCCAATCTAAACCTCCCCTGCCTACAAGGCACTGCTGTTGAAGTTTGAGGAAAAAAACCCACCCATTCAAACCTATTAGCTGTATAGGTGTTGTTTAGGAGCCATTATCTTCACATCTATGCTGTTTACACATCACAAAATGCTGTAAAATTACATTGTCAACCAAGAAGCAGGAATTAAGCTGTTTGATTCCTACAAAGCTTCTAGTAAGGTTATGACAGATGAGCAATCACTTTTCCATTTCTCACGTCTTGGTTCTAAGCAGTTAGAGGATCAACCTAACAGCTGAATTACCAGTGCATCTGCTAGGTAATAGCCACTACGCATCAAACAGAGCCAGATAAACACTGCTTTATAGGTGGCATTCTGCAGCCTTCTCACTGTTGATTTATAAAGCCTGTTTACACTGGATTTCACAGAGGAATGACCCATTTATTTTAAGAAACATGTGCTCTGCATACTTAATCTTCTACACAAGAGCATAAAGTTTGCCACCCTCTCTCCCAGCAAAAAGCCTAGATTGTGTATTATTCTTTGGCAAGACAGCACACTAGGATATAACACCGTAGGAATAAGACTTCAAACCTTCTAATAATATATGGTTAGCAAAATATTTGCAGACAGCCTATTCTAAATTACAGCATTATTGATCTGGAAGCACTAGGAATGGTTAAGTTTCAAAGTCAGACTGGTCAGCCAAATAGCTGCCAGCTCTGGCAGGATGACAATAACCAAGTAGACACTTGGCTGAAGGACAGTTATTCTTCCCTTTCAAGTATTGGTACTGAACAATGGTAGGAAGGCTCTGCAAGGCAGAATCAGTGTCTGGCTGAAGTCAAGCAAGACCTTGATTTCAAACAGTGGAATTAAGGGCTTCCAACTATTTACAAGTATAGCTTTTAACCCATGCCTTTAGTTCTGTAAATCAAAAGAAAATTACTCCCTCTCCCCTATTTGAAACATACCATACAACTACAAAACTAAACTAAACAATAAAAAAACCTAAACAATATAAACAATATAAAAAACCTAAACAACATAAAAACTAAACAATAAAACTACAACAATAGTTATCCCAAGCAGTTTTTCAAACTCTTGATCTAAGAAGCCGTTTGAAACCCAAACTGAGGAATTCATGCCATAACTTGCACTGGTTTTATCTAGCTCAATGTACTTTCAGTTTTTGTTTGGCTTTTTGCTTTAAGATCCTGTCACTGTATGACTTTTCAGATCCATACCCAGTTTTGGCAGAACATCTAACAGCTAGTCTTGCTCTTTCTTCCTCGTAGCCTCTGACCTGGTCATTGTAAGTGCAGGACAGAAGAAATACTATGCTTCAGATTTATGCTTACTTATCAGCTTTTTTTGGCTGTATGACTTTAACAAATTCCCTGCTGCATCAACCAGATGCTCACACACAAGTCGGTCACTAATGCTCTGACCTGCCAGGACACAGCAAGGTGTATCGGCAGGGCAGCAGGGTTTTGTCAGGTTACGACACTGAGGCAGAAGAAAACTGAAGAGCAAGGCAGTAGTCTGAGACCTTTTGAAGTGAGCGGAGTGCAGGTTGCAGATAATTCTGTTCAGAAGGAATAAAAAAAGTCTTAAAGTTAGACTGATTTTTGACAGTACGTTAACTACTTGATGCCTCTGATTGCACTGCTTCCCTGCATCACGTCTCTCACCAGTTTGGAAGGAAAAAGAGTAGTTTCTCAGGAGAGGCATACACAGCCATATTTTGTTCAAATTCTGCTCAAAGCAATGCTACTGGGCACAGAGTCACTTTGAATTTGAGAATAGGGACATTAACATTACCTGTAATCCTCTACAGGAGACCAAAGCCACGAAGTCTCAGGAGAGCTCAAGACCAGAAGGGACAGTGAAGAATGAGAAGCATCAAACTGTTCATAAGCCAGTCAACACTGAAAAGTAGTTTTAGGATGCAAGTAATCACCCCAAACACCTTCCCACTGGTATTATTTATCCTCACTCCTGCACTACAACAGAGCAAGATGAAATGCCATTATACCTCCATAAGTTTTCCATCAAAAAAGCTAATACATTCAGGAAACCTGAATCAGCTATGCCATGAGGATGGACACTTATCTACAGAAAATGGAGTAACAGCAGCGTCCTTTCAGTTACGAAGGACACTGGGGAAGTTCTTTCCTTCTGAGACAACAACTCTACATTTGATGCTTTCAGTACAGATCTTTCCAGTCAAACGGTGACTGGGCAAATTTGTCTGTTAGGGCCACACATCACTGGGCACATTTTAGAAAGCAGCTACAGAACAAAGACGACGCTCACTAAGCACTGTTTCTTCCCTCTTCCACAGTGACTTTAAATACATTTAAGCTTGTATTAGTTTATTCTGTATTATGTTGAAATGTTTTTATTACATAACTCAATGTCTAATATGAAAGGATGCACCTTCATTGCAACAGTATTCACCCTCCCTTTCGGAATGTCCTGGGAAAAACTGAAACAAAACTGAAAAACTCTGCACTAATTCAAATCTTGCAGAGTCAGAAAAGAATAGCCTGAAATCCTTTACTGTTCCCACTTTTTCCTTTAGCTGGTTAATTTACTACTACTACTTAATTTTGAGACAGCATTTTTCCTCATATATTAACATGCTATGACAAAACAAATATGCCAGTGAAGTGTGTTAAGACCTTGTGCTGTTTCACAACAGAATGAACAGTTTTGAGTCTTAGCAGTTATCCTGCCTGCTCCCTCAAAAAAGCCTCTGCTGCAAGAAGAGTGACACCTTAATGTGGTATTTCACATCCCCAGCACAGCAGCAAGCCAAGACAAAACAAAGCACTGTCAGTTACCTCAACACAACTCTTAATGCTCACTGGATAAACCCAATGGGATTACCTTCTTAGTTATCTCTGGCATCCTTTTATTTTATGTATTGTTCTTCATCTAAGGTCATCCATTTGTAAACAGATTTCTCCTTTCTCTGTAGATCAGCTCTCGACAGTCATGTATCATGCCCACCCAAACCTGCCCCCCTTCCCCAAAGTTCTTGCAAGCCGCTATTTTTAGAGCGCCGAACAAGTTTATCTGTGAAAGCCAGGGTGTTTCTTTACTCGCCCTCTTCACTGGCTCCGCCCTTCTTGAACAGCCTCAGAGACGTGGTTTCTTCAGTTTTAGAAGGAACGGCCTTTGCTCCACCCGGCTTTTCCTAAATTAAGCAGTGAAAGAAAATGGAGGAGGAAGGAAAAGGGGGGTAGAAACACAATCCATGTATAAAGGGTATGTCTTTCAGATGTGAAAGACACCAGCTTTTGGGCTTCTAGCCAAGCTGACAGCCCACAGGCACCCTAGGATCCTTGCATACACTTGCAGCTTCTCAAAATAAACAAACAAAACAAAAAAAAGAGTGATTCATACCAACTCTAACCTCTCTGATGCTCACATCTGACAGACAAGAGAAGCTGTCTCTCAGAACAAGTGCTGCCCCAGAAACACAGCCCAAC